TATTGTCAATATATATATATATATATATATATATATATATATATATATATGCTTCATTTATCTAGGCGATTGTTTTCTCATTGTTGAACGATTAGATGTATTGGTATTTAATAGATAAGAATTATATCATTAACTACGTATTTATAGATACCACGAGGAAAATATAATCCATATGAAAAGAAGAACAGATTCGAAGAAATGTTTCAGATTCGATCAAATTAAATAAAGATATCTTTGTATATAACTATTCTATTTATTGCGCTCAAAGTAATCGCCGAGAATGACTTAAAATTCATTGGAACCTCATTTCATCATGTGAAATGCGCAACAAAAGAAGAACATACCAAACCTTGATATTTACAGTTACAGCGCAGATGTGCGTATATTCATAAAAAAAAAGAAGATAAATACGCGTTATCGTAAAATTTCCGATACATATTCACGATCTTTTAGTAAAGGAAGAAAGGAAGAGAATATTTCGCAAGAATATTTCAAATATCTCGCATAATTTATACAGTATCGTTGAATTTTCATATTTATTTATTTCGATAAACACATAAATTAAAAAAAAGATAACACTTATTAGTATTAGTTACTCTCTTTTCAGTCGATATAAGGCAATTTACATTCTTTTATGATGTAATATTTGCATATAATTTCTCAAATGGATTTCTTTGTTTGAAAGTATAACGTAATCAGAAATCAAGTAGAATGTTATTTTGACAAATTAATTATTGCAAATATTCCACTTTAATTACATATGTATATAATAAAACTCATTACAATTTTAAAAACAAAGATATCAAAGAAGATATTAAATGTCAAAGATCCTGCTGATGCCTGGGCAATATCTATGTTTCATTCCTGTTGTTTAATATTTTTTGTTGAATTATTATTGAAGCGTAATCTTTTTTTGTTCGTGAGGTGCAAAGTTTATTTGCGTACAGAAGCAGATTGAAAGCTTGCCTGGGTTTCTCCTTCGTGAGGACAGAAAATTGGAAAATTTTCGATTCTCTCTTTCCACGCTACATCAGCTGTTTGTACGAGCGCAAGAAAACAAGAACACAAAGAAAAGGACAAAGTTGAAAGATCGAAACTGTGACGCATTAGGATATTAGTTAGCACGAAGGTAATCTTATCTATTTGTAATAGTCCAAAGGTACAGATTAAATGTGTAATGAGCGATAAACTGATTAATTACGTAATTTTCCAATGTTAAACGCATTATTATTAATACGAAGAACAAACGGTGTATTATTCATATCATGATAATAAATTGAATTAATTGATAATAATGCCATTTATCGCGATTTTGTAATCTTATGTCACTATTGTTTACAAAGGGTGCATTGTCCGATTTTCAGCGTACGGTTCGAATCTCGTGTCTTGCGTTCTAAATTAATTACATAATAGATATACCTATTCTAGTACAATTCTATATTCTATTTGTTATTAATAATATATTCATAACGATGTAGACGATTCTTATATTTGTTGGCGATTATAATATTTCTCTCGATAAGACGTATCAAATGTTATTTTCCTTTCCGGTTAATGTTAATCTATGTTTTGCAATTAATTGATGACGACGAACTTATTGAAACGTGAACGAATTCTGATTTCACTGCAGTTTCTCTTGAATGCATTTTGCCTCGCGTCGCGTAATAATTTCCGATCTATTTCAGCTACGGTAAGATATTACATCTTACAGTTAGCCTGACATGTTTTGCTTTTGTACTGTTATTATCTGCCTCGTTTCCTTTCAAATGCCTTCGGCGTTTTCTAGCATACTTGGATTATTACTCTTCCTCTGGTTGCCGCTGTTGTACGTACTATAGCAAAACACTGTAATTTGCTCTCTTCATGTTCTCTCCCAACTTCGGCTCTCTGCTCAATTTTAGTTTACTTCTTAATTATACTCATTTCTGAAATGCAAATGTTTCGTATTATGCTAAAGCGTCTTTGTTTCATCAGAAGAATGAGAGGTTGAACGACCGTGTGAAACTCTGACGTTTACAGCAATGCTTTTGCTAAAATATACATGTCAGCATTACATTCTTTTCTCCACATCGCTTTTGTGAAGACAAACTGTATTTGCAAACAGTATCTGCTTGTGGATGGAAATAGGATTCTAATGATTCCATCTGCTGCAGTTGCAAGATTATGTATAAAAATATATATATCATTTTCTTTGTAAATACAAATAGATCTCGATTGAAATTTGTTATAATTCCACGCGATTCTATATTAATATATTATTATATAATATGAAAGCTTTTTGAAGTTGCGTTTTTAAAATTGTATAACAAAATTGCGAAAATAAGAATTTCATAAATTATAATTGTAAAAGAACACCTATTAATATTTTAATATGTCCATTCGTGATTTTGATCATCACTGTTTCCGTGTACAGAATGAAATAATACATTGATATGGATAAAACAAATACTTCTTGTATAAATGATTATTATTATCACAATACGATGCATGACCATTGACCCGACCTCGCATCTTTATCAAATATGTACACGTGCTTTCGAAATCGCTACAATGAATAATAATATTGCCAACAGTTCAATTAGTTAAGGTCATTTATCTACCTGCAGAAGAGTGTATAATGTATTATCTTATCTAAAGATATCAAAGATAAATTAGTAATCAACAAAAGATAAATGTCTAAATAATGTATTTTTCATGTACACGTATGTTAAAATAAAAATGATAAATACATAATACTTTTTTTTACATGCATAATCTACAGGATATTCAGACCTTAAAAAAAATTGAGAATTCGCTAAGTTTCAAGACAATTTAATTCTCGAGGGATTTAAAAATTCTAGATGAGATAAAAGTATTTTTAAACGTATCCTACAAATAAATATATCTATTGAGCAGTCTTCGATCTATTAAAATTTATAAATCATGAAATAAAATTACAAATTATTCGACTTTCAATAATTTGAAAAATAATAAATTTTATTTTCAAAAGCGACAAACCTAACCAGAAATTATATTATGCATCAGTAATACGAAAGCTTATTGAATATTGAATTAGTCATAAAATTATTAATAGTATACTCTAACGTTTAAAGTAAGTGAATTCACTGTTATTATGAACAATTCAATCGATAAACTCCTGATAAATAATATAAAGCTAAAATATTAAAAAAAGACTTCAAAAAATTTTCTGATTTTTCAAAGCATATAGAGATCCCCTTGAAAATTCTAGAATTTTCCTTTTTCAGGTTTTCCTAGGTTTTAAATAACCTGTTCTAGAAGTAACAAAATAATCAATAGAAATAATTAAAAACTGTACAACATTTATTTGGATCAATAAAAATATGTTCATTAATAAATTCTATTAATTAGTCATACATTAAAGAATTTATTCATCATCTTGTACAACTGTTGTTTTCTCGGATACATAAAGTCCATCCAAGAATTTTCTAATATCCTTATTCTTTACTGTTGTTGATTGTTGAATAAGTGCAGCTAAAAAAATAGAATAATATTTATTAATGTTATCAAGTTTTATTTATATAATTTTATACAAAAGACTTACCAGAACGAGATACATCTTCCAAGGAATTTCCTTCTATAATTAATTCATCCTTTTGTTTTCCAGAATTCGCAACAGTCACGCCAGGTGCCATCTTCACACGGCGTATATACTTCTCTCCCAAGAAGTTACGGATTTCAATAACTGTGTTATTCTCTGTAGTCACACAGTTGATGGGGAAATGGGCATATACAGCTCGCATTTTGTATTGATAGCCCTTCGTCACGCCTTTAAGCATATTTTCAATATGCGAGCATACGGTACGAACAGCGGCTAATTCTTTTTTCGTACCAAACCATTTTTCCACCTTCAGTAATCTTGGACTGATCATCTAAGATAGAACAAAAAACATACTCATGAGATACAAATATAAATATTGTATATCTTGATGCATAGTGCAAACGATTCAGATATGGATGTATCATTTATGGGAAATGAAGGGGAATCCAAATTCTCATCATGATTATAAATCAATTAAATCATATTAATTGGAGATAATTTTTTTTATTTCATAATAAAATACATAATATTCTACTTACACGAATATCAAGGGCAAGATGTTTGAAGGACCGTTTCAAAACACCTCTTGGTCCTTTTACAGTGACCAGACGGGATTTGACTGTAACAGTCAATCCCTCTGGTATTTTAACTGTTTGATTGGTTACAATCTGCTTCATTCTGTAACATAAATAAATTCAGTATATATATATATATATATATATATATTCTAATATAATCCATATATATGTAATTGTCAAATACAAACAATAATAATTATCAGTGATAATAATTATTTAGTTTAAAAAAATCCTAATAAATTATCTGACGTCTGTCAGAATGTCATGATAAAGCTGTAAATGAAGTGATATAATACATGTAAATAAAATATATGTAAATAAAAATTTTAAATCTATAAGCTTCATGCAATTGTTTATATTTACTGTCTATTTATCCATAATTAAAGTATCACTTTTTAACTGCTATAAAATAAAACTATAAAATAATTTAAAACGTAATAAAAGATCGCTAACGATTTTATCATTTATTATAGTATAAAGATAGAACATATTCTTTAAGATTCTCTCGATACACAAGATAATTTGTAGGTTAGAACAGGTTATCACCTAAAGCCACATGTTCACATAAGTCAAAGTAAAAGCAACTACTGTTCATTCTATAATTTTACATAAGTTCATAAATTTTTTCTCTGTAAATGCAATCACAATTTGTTTACTTCAAGAGATAAATGCAACTTTACGAGCAATTCTTGACGATGAGCTACCGTCACAGTTTAAGTATTATGTGACCATACACTTTACGATTAGCAAAAAAATAGTATTTTAACGTGAAACCACGGAAAATGGCAATGTCAAAAATGTACAACGACGAATTATTGCGATTGATGCAACCACGGATTGATATGGATTTTATATTTCACATAACGAAACATCATTACCTTGCTTTCCGACATGCAACCAAAAAGGATCGAGACGCTCTGGTGTATTTTTTACCACCGCTTAGTAATACCAGATGGAAGCAGCGATGTTTTTGTGCGCATGCGCATGCATCAAATAGTGAAATCTAAGAATGTATGTGCACGGAGAATGCGCATGAAAATCTTGGCCATCTCAGGGTGATGAAATAAAAATAGCAACAGATATTATAAATATCAAATGTTTCAATTATCTAAAACATATACAGATATTTTTTTTATTAATTTTTAAAATATCTTCAGATTAATTTTAGAAATATCCATAATTAAAAATTTAAAAATATTTTTGTTTTCTCATAAGATAGATGTTCGTGGAGATGGTGGCAGCTGACACGCATGCGCAGAAAACATAACTGAAAACACATTGAAACTGCGTTCCAAAATTCACCGTCGAGACTAAAAATATATATTTTATGTTACATATATTACTCAAGGAGCAAAATGACGTCAAGTAACGTTTCAATGACGTTAGAAATGTTATTAAGATATTAGTAAAACGTCATTTAATATGACGTCTTGTTACTTGGATATAGATTTTCAATATTGACAATGAATTTTGGAATATAGTTTGAATGGATAATGTGGCTACATCAAAAAATAAATAGAGGAAACATAAATAAATGCACAATTAAAGGAAAAATCGTTTTATTTGATTTTTTAGATCTACGGGAATAATCCTACCTTTTTTTAGATCTAAAAATATAATCCAATCATCGCAAAGCTGTCTTTTTTTTTTTTGCTCAATACAACTATCAACACTTTTACAAAGCGGCATAACTCTAGGTACAGTTTCAGTTGTTCTTTTTCTATAAGACTGGTTTTACATTAGTCGTGTAATCACAAGCTTGCAAATTAATCAATTGCTCCGTCAATAATTTTCCCTATGATCGAAAATAATGGACTATGATTGGTTAATTTCTTATAACTTTGCACGACTAATGTAGAATCAATCTACTAGATGACGCTGTTAACACTCAATGAAAATGTTCAATGAAACGACAACATGATTGATTTATGTTCTAAACATTAGATTTGAATTTTATTTTTACTTAGCTTTTACTTTATGCTCATGTATTTAATACTTCAAAGTTTATTTAATAAAATAAAAGGTTTTCTGGAATGTAAGTTAAATTATGTATTTAATTATCTGTTTAGAAATATATCTTAATATTATTTTCAGATTAAGTTTTAATAATAGAATAATATATATAAAAATAGTTTCTAATAATTGTACATTTAGTGTATTTTTAGAGAAATATATGCGAGCATCGAAGAGAGAAATAGAAAGATATCTGCAATTGGCTTCTTTTCAACTTAAGTCACATGGCTTGAATAATTACTGACAAATGAATAGCCACATTCCACATAGACAGAAAAGAGTACACATGGTTTATACTTTAAATCTGTGTTGTATAAGCATTCTAATTTGAAGAAAACAATCAATGCAAAAGATTCATTTTATTTAAAAAATCACAACAAATAACTTAAACTCGCGTTAAAAAAAGCAACAATTTATTTTGTCACGCTTGTATCAAAACGCTTTGAACGCTTTGAACAAAAAGCGTAGTGATACTGAAAGAATCTTTTGCACATGCGCAAAAGGTAAACATCAAGTGACTTATCATATTTTCCTTTTCGATATCGGTAAAATCCATTACTATATGTATATATGTAACATCGATATATTCGAAATAATATTTCATACGTCATTATATTATACATAAACACAGAAAAATACATGAAAAGAAACGCGAAGTTCGACGTTCCACGTTCAAGCGCGAGTCCGTCGATCGGGCGGTCACGTGGTCCACGTTGCCGCGTGGTGGGGAGAATCCCTTCGCCTCGCGCATCGGTTGCGGGTCGTGACCTCGGCGTGGCATGGCGCGGCACGGCTGACGGCCTCGGCCGGTCGTTCTCGGCCGCGCTCGGCGACGGCCGCGCGCACGCCTCTTCAGAGGCGGCGCGCGCGCGGCGCAAGCCGGCTATATACAGATTCGCGGGCATGCCTCTCAGTGCGATGCCGGGTGCCGCTGGCGGTGGGGATGCCGCATCGTGTATCGCGTATCCGGCGTATAGAGCTGTGCTGCGCGCGCTAACGCTCGCGCACGGTACGTCACATCACGTCGCGTCGCGTCGTCGCCGCCGCGACTGACTCCCCTTGCTGATCGGACGCGCCCCCCCCCCTCCCTCGCCGTCCTCCGTAGTACGTGTTTCCCGTTTCGCGCGAGCCACACACAGAATCACGCCGCGCGACGCAAGCATTTAGGGGGTATACGGGTTTCTTTTTTTTTCTTTCTCTTATATACACTCTCTTTCTCTCCCTCTCCTTCTCGAGGGATCTGACGGCGGCGACACGAGAGCGTAAGGAGCGGTAGCGCGCGCGTTGTTGCGGTCTATCGACTCCTCGGTCTCGAGCGGGGATAACTGAAGTGCACGGCGCGAGGCACGCTGGAGGTGCCGCCGCGAACGTCGCGCTATGCCAGTATAAATATTGTTCTGTCGCACGCACGAGGCGCAGCTTCTCTCCTCCCTTCTCGCGAGTCTTCCCTCGCTGGGTTCTCCTCCCTTCTTTCTTTCATCTCCCATATTTTTCTCCTCTCGAATTCCTCCGTTGTCTCATCTCGCGCGTGGTTCGCGAGTGCCTCGGAATCGTCGTGCGCCTCGACGTTAACCCTTCCCTCCCTCCCCCCCCCTCTCGACGGTCGTCAAATAACGAAACGCGAACTCGAGTGCGGCCGCAGTGATAATCGCGGTTCAGTTCAGTGACGTTTCTCGTGATAGAATGATCGAAGTAGTTATTCCATGTAATCCCGCGGGACACGGTACGTCCGGTGTGCCGTAGTGACCGTGCCGCTCTGTCATCTGTTTCCAAGAAGAGAGAGGGAAAGAGAGAGAAAGAGCTAGAGAGGGAGAAGAAAAGGGAGAGATAAAGCGAGAGGACTGGCCTCTACCTGCCTGTCCGAGTGAGCGAGCGAACGAGCGACCGACCGACCGACCGACCGACCGATCCGCTCCGCTCCGAGACTGTGTGTATGTGTAATAACGTGGTATGGCTCGTCGTCGGTGGTTCCTGGCCACCTTTATTACAGCGGAACCCGAATGCGTGCGCGAGCGCGAGCGTACCCCTCTCGCCTGACCGGCCTACCCGTCAACGTAAGGCTGCGTTCATACGTGAAATCGATTTTCGCGCGGGGACCGTCATCCGGCCGTTCCTCGCCGAGGAGACGCATTACCACGGTTAATGAACGGAACCAACGTCGGCCGATCGTCCAATCAGCTTTTAGGTAAGACCACCCGACTTTCGACTATCCTACCTCATCCCCCTTTTTTTCCTCCTCCCTTTCTCCCTTCTCGCTTCTCTTTTCCTCCTCTTTTCGGCCTTCAGTGATCAAACGAGTCGTCGTTGATTATCGAAAGTATTCGGCTCTCCGAATGGGGAAACGAAGTCTTTCCGGTTCGTCGAACCCCGTCGTGGGAGAACACGTGGTGCCTGCAGCGAGATCGACTCTGATCTTGAATGAGATTAAAATATTACCAACCCACGAATGCAACCAGAGATAATGTTTCATTCATCATATTCGCCGCGAATACGAATATCGATCTGTAATATTACGTTGGCGATTTTAAAATTATATTATTTGATTCTCGCGAGACCGTATTCGATCGAATTCCACCGAGGATAATTTTACACAAACGTAAAGTGCTTGGAACGCAGAGTCAGAGGCTCGCTCGACATCGTCACGCGGAGACGCGTTCTGGAGCTTGCTCCGATAAAAGCGTCACGGATTGGCTCTTTTCGATAATTTACGTGACGGTTTTGCCACCGCTTTCACACATCCAGGCAAAATCGTCCGTTTTTTATTGTATCTTTAAACCGTCGTATCACGCGATTCCAGGTATCTCGAGATCTCGGATCGCCGAGCTCGCCGTGTCGTAAACAGATGATTCTGACAGCCTCTCTTTGTATATATACATATGCATCGCACGTGACATCGCTGCGCATTTCTCGTTCGTTTACTGCATCCGCAAGTGCACGCCGCGGATTTCCTTTGTCTGTGACGCGCGATGCGACCGGTGTGAGAGCCGCTTAACTCAGGTGCGCGTGCACAAAGGGGCATCTCTTCTCCGATGATGCATCTCGCGGTTGGGTATCTCGCTCTCGGAAAGGCAGCACGTCTCCGTTTTGGTATCACGAACGGTTTTTGAAATGCGACTCGAGATCATGCGATTTTCGCTCGAAAAGAATTATTTGTCCGAGGGAAAAAGGGTGGCGCCAAGGACGCACGCGGCCGTATTGTGTACGAAAGTGTCGAGAAATATATATGTATTTTAATGAGGGAAAAGGCATAATTTCATGTAGGATATTATCGCGTAATTTTTAGCCGATGATAACTTCTTATCTTAGAATCGGGCGCGTGTCGCGAAATGAAAACTGACATTAAGGACACATGTACAATAATAGCAGAAATTATCGATATTTAAAAAGAATATATTTCTTATATTTATACTATTAATAAATATCAAATAAATAGATTTGGATTATAAAAAAATTAAAATCTAAACAAAATAGCATAATTTTTAACATCTTTATGAAAAAAATTATTTGCTATTAATTTTTTCTAATGGTTGACTAAAATTTTTTGTTATAAATATCCTCTGAAGAGAATATTTATAACTGACAAGAAAAATGATTAATAATTTCTAAGAAATTGGAGTTACTTGATTATTTATTTTGAGTTATTTTGAGTTAACTGATTTTGAATATAGATATCAAGATTTTATGTAAGTAGTTAAATGTATATGAAATGTAAAAAATAATGCTTTACATATATTAAATTAATAATTTTTGAACAAAATATATATTTTAAATTCTATTTAATTTCTATTATTAGAATCTTGCAATATACCATTTTCCCTAAAAATTGATGCAAATTTAAAAATCAATTTTCAAACTGTAGATAATATTATGCTCCTTATTCCTGATTTTGAATAAAAAATATATTAGGTTTTGTAAATCATAACTTTAATTTTAATTTAGCTTCTTTTTTTTTTTAATTTCGGAGGGTTCGAAGGATTCAAACCCTCCAAAATTAAAAAAATCTTCTCTTCTGGATACGCCCATGTTCGAAACTAGATAATAAAGAGCCGAGTAATAGAAATACATATGGGATATTGTAAGCGTTTTGATAATTTTCTATTGTTATAGAACACTCAAGTCATCATCTTTAATCTTTGGAAATACCGTTAGAACCAGTAAAACAAAATTAATTAAAATTCAATTCCGTCCTTCTTTCAACTCTTATATTTAGGACAAATGAATTATTACTTGAATTCCGCCTAATTAAGCGTTTACGGAAACAATTCTGAAAATTTAGATCGACGATTAGAATATAATGTGCTCTAGGAGAGCGTTTCTCCTCTAAAAATCGGGATATTTCTTGTGAGAAGCCGTCATTTTACTTTTTATCCGAGAGAACGAAGTTTTAAGTCGGCAATGGAAATAAGTAAGTCGATGCAATGAGCATGATACATGCGTGTTACTAATCCGCGTTCGTGACTGTGCTGCATATATAGTCATTTTCGATACACTTAAAAGGTACATGATAACTTGTAAGCGCTGATTTCCTATCGTAAGCACATGGTTTGCTGTTTCATTCACGGAACACCGCGGGTATGTTTACCATAGCCGTGTAATTCACAATAACGATTTTACGCGATCTGATGCTAGAGCACGAACACGGAAATTTCGTGAATTCTTAAAATATATTTTTCCATACATTTCCATTTGAAATCCTACATATTTGGAAATAATACTTATACTCATGAAAAATTGAGGGAAAAGAATAGCAATTTTTTTTCGTTCCAACAAATCGCGACAATTAAAAGGAAAAGAAAGGTTCAATATATATTGAACTTAAGGTCGTGTGTGTCATATATATCACTTGTGTCAAACCATTTATATAAAAATATAAAAATTATGTAGAATACTATTTTTTTCTAAATACCTGGATAGAAATTAAAGCTATTCCAAGCACTAAATATATCCATCAAAAGAGTAATTTATTAAGACAAACAAATCGCTGTTTATGCGTCAACAGAATTGATAAAAATTCCTCCCGAAGAAAAATTCTGAATACGCTCGTGGTTTTTGAAGCATGGAGTCTCTTTGAAATTTGACAAGTGCTTTATTCGTTAGAAATGCGCTCCTCCGTTACGGGGGACATTTATTCATGCATGGGAATGCTAATGGGTCGTTTATTGTAATTGCAGCCAGGCTGGACGAGCGTAGTCGAATGCAGCTGGGCTCAGCATGCCCTCTAAGAAGCAATACAACCTCGTACATAATGACGAGTACGACACGCGAATACCACTGCACAGCGAGGAGGCGTTCCACCGTGGAATCGTGTTCCACGCCAAGGTAATCTGGGGTGATTTCTTATCCACTTCGGTCCATACGCGAGCACCATCCGGCTTCTATTCGTTTTTCTCAATCCACGACGAGTTCATCTCTCGGGGGCTGTCGTTCGAGCACCTTGCAGTAGCCTTCTATCCACTAGCGGATTTCTAGATTTTCAATCTCTCGTCTCGTTTACATTCGAGTTTATATTCGAAGATACGAGTTAGAGCCATTAAAAATGATGTTTAAGAAACATCAAGCCGGAGAGGAGGCGCCGTTAAAAATGTTTTATCGCTGCATCGTTCTTTGCTGATATTTACGCGAAACTCCGAGCGGCCGTGCCCGAGAAAGACATTCATCCCTCTACTGACGTAACGCTCGCAACCAAATCGCACCGATTGGACGTGCAAAATTCGCTAAATTTCTAATTGCAAAAATTCCCACGTGTTTCTAAGCGGTTGCTCGCCTTTAGAAAATAGTAACACCAACGGTCGATAGAGCGTCTCACGTCAGAGGAAAATGTATGTCGACTATAAACCACGCTTCGTTCCTCTGACCGCCGCGCCGTGCGATGGGAACGAAAGCATCTGCTTTGACACGGTTGAGTTAAAAAAGAATTTTCGCGTCTTCCCGCAGTCCCGTTTCAGCGAGATATTGGCAGTATTATCGACGAAGCGAGAAAAGAGGCAAATTTGCACGTTTCCAGATATTTGTTATTATTATTATTATTATTGCGAGATGCATTAAATGCGCTGTAAATATCCGTTTTCAAGCGAAAAAACTGAGCAAGAGAAACGGGGGAGAAAGAGGGAGGGGAAGAGAGATGCGAGAGACTCTGGTATCTTATATTCTCTTCGTTTCTAGTACTATTTCTCACAATGGGCAATAAAGATCTCGGCGACGATCTTTTCGCAACGGGACTGAATCGCGAGGCGGACGCAAACTGCGCGATTTCGATCCCCGATGACGGTGAACCGAGTCGTTGTAACACCGGAAAGGACAATAAACGCCGGCGCCGTTTCCCAGTCTCTCTCTCTCTC